AACTTTCAAGCTTTTCCCTATGAGTATAAAGACCTGGTAAGAAACCAAGTCAAAGGAAAAGATGTATGGTTGTGAACTTAGAAATACCTTTGAATTGGCTTTATTTTTTGAAATTGGTAACATATATATTTTCCTCTGAATGAATATAATATTATATTCCCATACCTAGCAAACGATTAAATATCTGTCAGTGGGGGTTTTGCTGATGTATTTACCCTTAATTGAGACTTTTTCTGATGAAATGACAGCAATAAATATAACCTAAGAAGTGCATGTAAATCATCTTATTTATAAAAAGTATTAATAAGGCCGGGACCAGTTTGGCTCAGTGGATAGATAGTCGGCCTGCGGACTGAAAGGTCCCGGGTTCGATTCCGGTCAAGGGCATCTACCATGGTTGCGGGCACATCCCCAGTGTGGGGTGTGCAAGAGGCAGCTGATCGATGATACTCTCTCATCGATGTTTCTAACTCTCTACCCCTCTCTCTTCCTCTCTGTGAAAAATCAATAAAATATATATTTTTTAAAAGTATTAATAAGAATAGATGTTTCTCATGTATAGATTATTGCAGGTGATACATTTTAAAGAAATGATAACATCTGTTGAAAGGTAATGTATTAAAATAAAGATACATTTTTGTGTTGGAATCTTTCAAAAATTTTAAAGTTATTATTGTGATTCTCATCTTTTAAAATAACATATTTTGTTCCGTGTATCCATAAGTTTGTAATACATGTTATTGATAATGATGCTACTCTGTCCTTTTTCTGTTTTTTAATATTTTTATTGGTTTTTAGAAGAATGGAGAGGGATAGAGAGAGAGAGAAACATTGATTGATCTGCTGCCTCCCTGGGATGAAGTACACAACCAGGGCGTGTGCCCTGTCGGGGAATCAGACTTTTGGTACATGGGGCGAAACCCGCCCAACTGAGCCACCGCTGGCCAGGGTGAGACTTTATACTTTTAATCATTAATCTAAAGGAGAGTCAGTTAACTTTTGCTTTTGTTAAACCACAAAGACATGCAAGTGATTAAGTTACCATGATTATAGATTGAAAAGAGTGAAATACTAATGCAAGTTGCTTTTATTCATTTAAAAAGTATTCTATCTTTTTAAAATAAAAATGCCTACATACAGTTTAAACTTAAAGAGACCATTAAAGGAATATTTTACCTGTTGACACTGACCTCAAATTCAGAAGAAAAAAGGAAAAATAGATTTCGAAAAGGTCGAGCTTTTGCTATGGTTGTCACTAGAAACCTATTTATATTAGTAGTTTATATGCTTTTAACAGCCTCGCTTAGCTGATTATCAAGCAGATTATCAGTTGAGAATAAGAAGCAGCAAAGTAAAAGTAAAGAGAGGAGCTGCTAGAATCAGATATACCAAGGAACAATAGGGATAACTAGCAGAAGGGAAAGAATATGCAAATTGATATAGCACATACTAATCACAGAGTATCATTGAAATTAGGATAAATAGACATATATAACCCCCCAAAAATCTTGAGGTTACCACTTATTACTGCTCAGAAATATATAGTTGAGTCCAAGTATTTTGAAAATGTTAAATGTGTTTGAAAATATGTAACAAAATGGGAGATATTTCTTAAAATGATAGTAACTAACTTATGTTGAAAGAAAGAAACCCTATTCATTCAGAATATTAACTATCCTGAATTAGCAATTTCTCAGTGTTAAAATAAGCCCTAGGTATGAGTTTACATGAGCTGATAAGCAAAGCTGTTGAGGACAGGAAATTGTGGGTCTCTCTCATTCATACAGTCACCAGGAGTCTGAGCTGACTTAATGGCACATATTACATACACACAAGTAGCTGTTATCCTGCTATAAAATTTTACCACATGTCATGTTTTGTTTTAAAGCTCATTTTTTCCTATTGTATTATTAAATGGCACTCTCAGTTCTTATGAGACCAAAGATATTGTCTATAGGTTGTCATAGAATTATTAATATTCTACTATATTTTTGTGTTAATTGTTCATTTTGAAATGCTTCATTGTTACTCATCTAACCAAAGTTCTTACTTGGTTGACACTAATATTGCCTAAAGATTTATATATTTTCATTCTTAACTCAGTGTCTAGCATAAGACATTAAGTTGTATTCTCAGTAACATATATTGATATATGATGTGTGTGTTTTTTTTTTTACATCTAAAAAAGTTCACTAATTTTCATGATAACTGATAATTGGGGGGGAAATGGATCAATTCATTAGTGTATGCCCATTAATCTATACTATATAGATTCATTGAAATAGGTCTCAGAATCTAAGAAGTTTTAGAATATATTTGAGGTTATAGCAAAAATATTTTTTCTAGCTTTTTTTTTTTAAGGTAGATTACATTTTTAGAGCTGATCTAGTTTTTTTGTTTGTTTGTTTTTTGTTTTTTTTTTAATCCTTTAATCTTCCTTACAACTGTAATTTCAAATTAATGGCATCTTATACACCTATATCTTTACATTATAAGAAATGTGGGCAATACTTTTATGTAACTATTTTTCAGCTTTTATTAGCTAGTCTATTGCAAAGAGAAGTAAATGTTCCTGTTAAATAAAATAATAAATAACTGGCAGTTTAGTTTAGACACTAATGGATCCTAAAAGCCTTTAAAATGACAAAAAACAGCAACTTTTATGATTTATAGGCTCATTTTTGTTACACAGTTTGGTCATATACCTGACAGACTTTCCTCTTTGTGACTTTTTCCTAAAAATTACAGTTTTGTGTTATCTGAGTGTAAAGGCCATTCGAGTTCAAGAGAAGAATATGACAGCATTTCTTCTGAGGATTGTAGCAATTCCCAGTGGAGATGTACAATCTCCTTTTTCCACTTCTTTGACATAGTTCTAATAGTAGTGGTATAATTTAATACTCAAAGGATATGTACTGTATCTTTGAACCTGTAAACTCTTCAAATTGTCTCATGCATGCTGTGTGAACTTTAAGCAATCATATTTCTTTATGACTCAGTGATTTCCATTTACTACCTGTTAGCTATACAATTAGAAGTGTATTGTGGTTACTGTTGTCTAATATGTTGTGCATTCTGTTATATTAGAATTTTAAAGCAATGTGGATTGTATAATCTCTTTAGTTATATCGTGCCATTTTAATTTTTTTTTTTAATCACTATTGAGGTTGCACTGATTTCCTTTCCTATTTTGGCATACCCAGCACTCTAGTAGTCTCCAAAAGCAGGAATGTAATCTGAGCTGTGGGTTGTTTTGTTTGCCAACTTAGATGAAACACTTTGCATGAGTTCCATCGATCAGTTCTCATCCTTTCTAGACATTTATTGAACAATTAATACAACCTTGTAAAGACCCCCTAGAGTATTTCTATAAACTAGATCATTTTACCCAAGAGCCACAGAGATACATCAAGATAGAAAAGGATGAAAAAGCTGTTTTGGAGAAATAGAAAATACTACGCCTTCAAACTCACATTATGGATTCTCTTCATCCTTATAAATGAAAGATATACTTGTTCTTTTTAAAAATATTTTGTTCAACTTAGAAAGCTTAACTTTTCATAGATATGAAACATCATTGTTTAAATCTTGAAAATTTAATTGAGGTGTATTCACAATACTTTTATTTCTTCCCCTAATTTTGTGATTAAAGTCTTTTTTTTCCTAAAAGAAAAGCTAATAATTTTTTAATATTTTTTTAGCTATTGGTTCTTAAAACAATATAAACTCCCCGAGATTTCATCAATATTTGTGTTTTCGCAACTTCGTCATTCACAGTGTACTTTAAAAATACTTTATAGAGTGGCTTAGAATTTTGAAATTATCACCAAAAGGAAACATAATAATGGGTAGATATTGGAAGTTTTTATATTAGTTAAAAAAATAAATATTTTGTTTTAAAATACCATTCTTTTATTTTTTGATAAGTTTAATAAAGGAATACTTATTTCTGACATGTAAGTTTATGTGTTGTGTTGGGATGCTGAAAATATTACAGTTTTAGACCAGACTGCTGCAGTGAAGCTAAGATTAATCTAAAAAACTAATCATTTATTTTTTTATTGCCTTAAGGTTTATCTGTAAAGTATAAAATGGATTATAGGACTTGTGTATTAGACCCAACCAATTTTGTTTTAGCACATCATATGTCTAAACTTTATTTCTAGATGTAAAATAAGTACTGTTAATTATCTTTGTCAATTATTCATTAATTTAAAATTTCATAAACTTATTAAATTGTGTTTTAACTGGTATTATGTCATTATTAAAATTACATAATCAGTAAAATCAGTGTGGTTTATTTATCCAATGAATATTTATTGTACAACTAGTATTGTGGAAACTACACAGGCTAATTCACTGTGGTCCAGGAGCTTGCATTCTAGTAGTAAAGTAAAAGGTAAAGATATAAAATGTCAGGGCGTGGTGTTGCTCCCCGTGAGTGAAAGGAGAGCAGGGTAAGTGAATAGGGGCAATAGAAACTCTGAAATGTACCTCTATGTAAGCTTTCCAAGATTCCCTCTATCCATTGACTTAAATGTTCTTTTTACTCTAGACCAGCTGTTTGTATCATCCATGTAGGTATTTCCATTGTTTTGCACATCATACTGTCCTGTAATTTCTGGATTAATGTTTGTTTCTGCCCTCAAGCGTATGCTTTTTGAAAGTTGCGTCCATAAATCTTCTGTGTGTCACCAGTTTGTAACACTAACTCCTGTTTTAAGTGCTCGGATTTGTTACAACAATAAATGACTGACACTCTCAGAACTGAGGATATCTGGCACCGTTGGAATCCAAGGGCCCTTTCTGAGATAATTAGGAAAGAATGAGTAAAAAATTATTTAAAAAAAATAAATGACATGGATTTATACATTCTGTTCGGTTCATTTGTAATATTTTAAATTAATTTAGAGTTACATTTTACCTTATTTTATTGAGATTACTATATTATCCTTTTTTGAAAAAACAAAGTTTTCTGAATATTAATCTTTAATTCACAGGTACTACTGAACGAGTGTGTTTGATCCAGGGAACAGTTGAAGCACTGAATGCAGTTCATGGATTCATTGCAGAAAAAATTCGAGAAATGCCTCAGAATGTTGCCAAGACAGAGCCAGTCAGCATCCTACAACCCCAGACCACCGTTAACCCAGATCGCATCAAACAAGTGAGTGTTTAGTTGGGAAATCAAAGAGAACTACTCATAGCATAGTCTGAATTCCTTATCAAAGAAGCCTTTAGTCTTACTATACATTTTTTTCTAAAAATACTTAAAATAACAGTTGTCATTTATTTATTTAAAAATGATTGTTCTCTTTCTTACATTGATTTGATTGATTGAATTATTCATTTCAACACTGAGGAGCAATTATGTGATTCATTTCTGTTATGATTTACAGACACAAATTTGATAATTTATGGGAATTTAATCTATTTTAAATTATATTATTTTTAAGTAAAGTATAAAAATTTTAAACACTATCCTCAAAATTTAAATACTATCTTGGTATTAGTCTTCAGTATAGTTACTATATTATGCATATATATATATATATATATTCTTGTTTTGTTAATTTGTCATGTTCAACATTTTTTTATCAACAAATATGTTTAAGTATACCTTTGTGCCTAGCAAAAGTTACTTGTTACAACTCAGCTATTATATTCTGTATAACTTGTGTTATATATATATATATATAGAGAGAGAGAGAGTCATAAAGGGCCAATGTGAGTTTTTAATATATGGGATTCTCTGTAACAAAGTTTTTACTTGATAAAAGACAATGCAAGTTTTTAAGAGTGAGTAATGGCTGACATGATATAGGAGAAAAATAACAATATTTGAATACTAAATAAGGTGGATTCTTCCCCTTAAACTCTTGAATTCAAAATTATTGGATACTTTATAATTATTGCTTCAGCATTTGCCCTTTTATATTAACTACTTAATTTTTATCATTCTATTAATAGAATATACCCTCAAAAGGAATGTATTTTTTATTATTTTACAAGATATTTTATTTACAGAATATTTATGTTCACTTAATGAATTTGAAATGTAGCTCAAAATCTTATTAATTTCATGTTTCTGAATTGAAAAACAGTGTTATGAACCGATTAAATTTTTATCTATATATAGGTAAATATAAGAGTGACTAATCACATTCAAATGTAGAAAATATCAATTAGACAATATATTTTCAAATTATAGGAAAAAATTTGTTTTTTCTTAATTACTATGTTACAAAATACTTCCATGTTTAAATTACGAATAGGTAGTTGTTATTCCATATAAAATGATTCATTTATTTTACTCTCTGTTAATGTCACAATGGTTAGATTTTGTTTGTATACCTTTCATACTTTTTCAAGGAAGTAACTTTTAATCTGTATATGGCAGAATTTAAATATTTTAAAGCTTCAAATATCAGATGATAATTTTATCCTCACTGAGATTTATAGTTTTAGAATTTTTATTTTATCTATGCTAGATAAATACAAAGAATATCTGTAATGCTTTTAAAGTGATACATGATTCTATTATATCTAGGTTCGAAACTATGATGTGAGTTAAAGACCTCTGTATTAAGTTCACCTGTGACTAAGAATTTACAGAAGTACTAAAGTGTAGGGTCTGTTGACTTTCTACCTTAATTCAGCCTAGTCTTTCTTTTCTTTTGTAACTTATGTGAGAAGTTCAAACATTTATGGGTGTGATCTTGATTTTTTTAAAAGTAAAACATAAAATGCTGTTGGAGTAGAACGACATCATTGGCAGTACATTCAACACAATGATATGAATGGATTTTTTTTATTTTAATATTAATAAGTCACTAGTACAATTAAATAATTGTCCCAAATCATTATTAAAATTCCAATTTTCTCTATGGCCATATGACTTTCATTGGATACCATGTATCCAGTACCTATATAGATTTATGTACACCAAAATTTAAAAATGTTTGGTTTACTTTTATTTGCCATTTTCTCATAACATTTTTAAATTCAAGATAAGTATTAAAAATAGAGATTGCTTTACTTTTGTGTATTTGCATTCACTGTAAGCCTTATAGATACTCATGGAATTAATATTGTTGTCAATTAATATTTTATGTAATTAATAATGTATTAAATACAGTATTATTTTAAAAGATTTCTCAAAAGAGTACACTAAATTTAGAAGGGCAATATATTTCACATTTAAAATCCTTTTTTGTAAGTATAAAAATAAAATAATATACTTGAAAAATTTGGAAGAGAGATCTTATATATTTTTAGATATCATAGATGAACAGTTTTTTATGCTCTAAGTTTAAGATTCCCTCTAACTTTATAGGTATCCTATTTTACCAATATCAGACTTTCTATTAGATCATTCTCTAAATAGAATTCCAAGTATATAAATTTAAATGACCATGATTTTATTTCTGAAGACATTATGCTGACAATCCAGTATAGAATAATTATGTCTAATAGAAAGTATTTTCCACTAGAATAAATTAAAACATATTTCTTATGATACATATATTATATATGACTTTAATACATAGAATCATAATAAAATTTCCTTTAAAATGGCAGTTTTTTCCTTAACTAGTGATTGATACAAGATTTATATTTACTTTGGGCTTTAGTCCTCAAATTAATAAAAAGTAATGTCTTTGAAGGATTGTTTTAGAATTTTTTTTAGTTAAGATTGTGCAAAGAATAAAATTAAAGTTTTTAAAATGCTGGAGCTAGGAAATGTAACTTTTGTATGTAATATTGAATATGGAATTATATATTTTTTAAAATGTTTGTAATTATGTGTCCATTGTTTTTTGCTTTCTAAAAATAAATTATATGTAACCTGTATATAAAAATAATTTATATGTAATAGGAAGTCAGAGTTAATTTTAAACAATTAAAACTTGCCTTAAAGGCTATAATTTTATACCATATATTATGGACTTTTAATGAAATGGTATATTTTGAATTATGCAATCTAGATACAGTTGGTAACCAAAAAATGTTATTGATCATCATATTCTGCCTAAATAAAACCTATATTTATTGACTGAATCAGTTTTCAAACCAGAATAGTTGTTTTAGGGAAGCAGTTCATAACGGTCTTAGCACTCTTTTGTAGAGTGAAATGATAAAATATAGAATGACAGCCTTACATCCAACCTCAGATACTAGATATTGTAAAATATTGTCAATTCTTAATTCTCAAATATTTTTGTCTTCTATTTAAAACATATTTGTTTGCCAATAGAGACAATTATAATATTTATTGAATAATCAAAATATTATATCCTCTGTTTTTTAAACTTAATACCAGGAAACTATCATGACGTATGTAATACCATTGTGCTTATTTTAGAAGACAGTATACTAAGACACAGATATGCAGCAAGAGTTAATAAGCCAAAATTAAACATTAATTAGCATGAAACATATTATGTCTTATTTTTAGGATACACAATTAACTGAGACATTTAAATTTTTCAAATAACTAGACTTGCTTGCCTAAAAGCTCTGAACTCATTTCAGAGCACTTCCTAGCCCAGATTATCCTACCTACTAAAAGAGTAATATGCAAATTAACCATCACTCTGCTCAAGCCATGCTCACCAGCCACACCCACCAGCCAATCAGAGTGAGTATGCAAATTAACCCCAACCAAGTTGGCTATAGCCACAGAGAGCAGTTGAGGGGCTTGGGTTTTTCCAGCAATAGAGGAAGCCAAGCTTTCTACACACCCTGACTGGCCTAGACCTCCACTCAAGGCCTAGACCTCCCTGTAGGGGAGGGCGGTTAGGGGTGGCCAGGCCAGTAGAGGAGGGAAGTTGGGGGCAATCAGGCTGGTAGGGGATCAGTTAGACATCAATCAGGCTGGCATGGGAGTGGTGAGTGGGTGATCAGGCTGGCAGGCAAAAGTGGTTAGGGGCAATCAGGAAGGCAGGCAGACAAGCAGTTGGGAGCCAGCAGTCCTGGATTGTGAGAGGGATATCCGACTGCCCATTTAGACTCTATCCCACTGGGCAGTTTAACATCCCTCAAGGGGTCCCAGATAGGAGAGGGTGCAGGCTGGGCTGAGGGACACTTCCCTACCCTGTGCACAAATTTCTTGCACAGGGTCTCTAGTTTTGTATATAATTTTCTAATCTCTACCTATTTATGTTTTGAGCTTTATACTTTTTAATTTTCCCCATAGGATTATTGAACTTTTCTTCTTGTAAATGCCTCAAATCCCCCTCTAAATATATTTGTTTATACATAATGAGTCTGAAACCTCCCAAAAAATGTTAGAAACCACAAATCAGTATTATAGCTAGCATTTGTTAACTTCCTTTATCTATTATAGATTTTCAGCAATTTATTTCTTTTTTGGCTCAAATATATTTTTAAGGAAAGCTACATTAAGTAAGAAGTGGTTATAGGCATATAAACAATTCTCTTATTTAAAAAAAATCAAATTAAAATGTCTGTAGTCTCATTTAGCCTAAATAATTTTACTTTCATCATGCAAATTGATAAAAATTGCACATAACTTGTTTTTGAGAAATAAAAATTTATAAAAATATAAAACTTTATTTATATACCAAAACTATAATATAAACAATGTACCATAAAATTTTAGAGGTGTGTGAAAGAAATATGGCCTGGTGACATTTGATATTGTAAAACAGGTAAAGACTTGAATTGAATCTTGAAGATTGTATAGGAATTGCCTAATTATAGAAAAAATTATTTTAGGCAGGTGAAACAATATGGGTATAAGGAAAAAGATACCATAATTGTTGAATAGTATGGAAACGATCTTGACAGAGGTGGGGCATCAGTGTTGGAGTTTAGAGAAAATAATATTAGATAGGTAAGATGGGATAATGGAGAGCCTTGCGTGTCGGGCTGAGGCGTATTCCAAAGGCTAAGGACTCTTGCTAATATTTCCTAACAAGCCCTTATAATTTTTTGGAAGATTATGAAAAAGAAGAGCATTTTGTTCTCTTCTGTGCTAAATATTCAGGCAGAATATTGGTGTGCTTATAGATTCAGTTTGCAGGAGAAAAAGAGAGCTATGACAATTAGCTGAGTGTTCTACAATGTAGATCTTTAGTTTTGAAGATCTGTAGGAAAATATTTTCTAAAACTTTTATGTAACATTCACAAATCCAGGTGATG